TGTTTCATCATCAGGTTTTGTTGTGACCATGTTGTGGGCTCCACAAAAAAAAAGGAATGCAGAGGATGTACAAAGACTGAACTAAGCCTGTCTGTTCTGGAGGACACCGGGATGCTACTGGCTGTTTGTACTGCCAGAAGAATAGCCTGCACCAACCAAACGTGGATCACCAAATAGAGGTCTTGGGCCACAGGTAGAGCTACATTTCACCCACACAGGATGTCATGGGAAAGAAGTCTCTCGGGAACACGGGGTGACTCTGACCTGAAAAGATACTGTAGTTTAAATACGGTCATTCGTTGCACAGCTCCGTTCTGGATGGTGCCACGTCTGAGCTTTAGGAATGAAGTGCACATGCTAGTGGTTATCACTTCACGTATTCCTGCAGTATACATCAGTTTGTTTTTCCACACTGGAGAATCTTCAAAAGCAGAGATGCAGCATCATAAGTCTAGAGAGGGTTAGTGGGTCCACACATCTCGACACTGCTGTTCTGTGCCCTTTTAGGTGTCCCAGGGGATCACAGGCAGCCACACAGAGCAGGCAGACATGACACATGAGACCAGCGCCCTTCTGGCCTGGCTGCTGGATACCAGATGAGATACCCGGGGCATCTAAAACTGCCCCAGGCTCCTATCTTCAGGCAACCAGATCCCACCAAGGATGTTGCATTTTGAAATCGTATGTTGGGCAAGCCCACATAGGCATACTGGCTGCAGATAGCTCTTCTAGATATCTAGAAGTGCTTCTGCAGGTAGCAGAAGCCTGCTGTCCTGCCTCCTGGTCCTTTTTGTTACCTTTACCACTGTTAAATCAGCACTAGCAACAGCAGTGCCAGCTCCCCACGGAGTAGCCCTTCAGAGGGCAGGTACCTGCTGTGAGCCATTGGGAAACATTTGTCCTTTCTCTCCTGCTGGGGCCCAATATCAGTGAGAGGTGAGGGTCCCAGTCCGGTGTCCACATCTGCCAGCCTCTTGCCAGTGATACCCCTCAAGAAAAGACCTGTTAAACATTTGTGCACATAGGAGCTTTGGAGAAAGCCTTCTTGCTGCTCTTTTTTGAGAGGCACAGCAGCTCCCCATCGCTCCCTGCTTGGCAGGGCAGTTACAGCAGTTAAGGGTGGAAGCAGCTTAGGGTGCTGGCCGCAGTTTGTCGTACAATGTCACGCTATGACCTGTCGCAACTCAGGATAAACGTACCCCTTGCATGGGACAACCAAGGACAGGACATGCCAAGTAAAACTGCCCCTGTGGCACATGCCTGCGTCATTCAGCCCCTGAGGATACATGTATGGGGGCACATGGATGCACGGGATATTGTCTTAGCAGCAGGGAGTAGAGTAAAGCCTGAGCTACGCATGTGAGTATTTACCCTGCCCTTCAGGTGCTTGTCCTATTCACCCTGAGCTCTGCATGGCTGTAGCTTCCCTGTTAGCTGGATCCGACCTGGTTGGTTTGAAGCTTTCTCAGGTTTCTCTTTGCAGTCTGCTGGCCCAGCTTCTCCCTAGCTTGCTGCAGCAGAAAACAAATAACCAGGGGAGTAGCTGTTCAAGGCAAAACTGGGTCGATGAACGTTTACGCTCAATTAACACATGTCACCATTCTGTCTCCACAACTACAGTGAGTGCACCTAAAAAGTGAGAACAACCTGAATTAAGGCTGCCAGGTAACCTGAAACCTTTGCTCCTTGGCTGAGCCCTTCCTGTGGTGGTGTTGCTGAATTTATGCTCTGCGTGGCTATCGCACTGGGACTGAGTGACTTGGATTTCTAATGTCTGCTCTAATGACCGTGCTTCTTGATTTTTGCCCTTCTCGTCAACTTGATCAGAAGCACATCTGGACTTACAAAACATTTAACTCCAGCCCCAGTTCCTCCTAGGACTTTTGGCTAAGGGTCTGATCCTATGATACATGGCTATGCCATCGACCTTGGTGTGTCTGTGAGGGCTTGTAAGTGCCTGGAGGGTGCTAACTGATGGTAAAGCGTCCTTCCCCTGAGGTTCCCAGTGCCCTGACAGGCCAAGCAATGCACTTCAGTGGATCTCTGGCTGAAATGACTCAGTGCAGAATCAGTCTGCAACTTCTAAGGGGTGCACAGTTTTCAAAATGCCTGCCCCCCTCCATCTTCTGGGGAGAAGTGTGTGTGCGTGTGGGTGCCGTAGAGGCAAAGAGTGGGTTGAGGATCACAGCAGCACAACCTTCTGATATTTGCAGCCGGTTTTTCACAAGGGCAAAAAATCCTTCTCTGTTCCTGTCTTATACATCTGGATTTTCTCTTTCAGAACCTCTACTGGCTTCTTCCTTTGGGTTCCTCCATGCATGTATGTCTGATTTGTATTAGCCCTTTGTTTGAATTGTAAGCACTTCAGAGCAGCAATCATGTCTCCATCTGTGTCTTGACAAGGGACTTACATGATAGGTTGGCTTAAAACCACCCGTCTGCAACTGAGCTATCTTAGGCTTTTGCAAGGAATGAATTTAATGAAGGAAAGTTTTCTTTTTGCTGCACAACAGTCTGATCCCTTTGCCAGCTTTTCTTCATGAAAAAAAGTCTTTCCCAAGACTGATGTGAATTTGAAGTCTGCCAGTCTCAAAAATTTTTTAATAGTTAGTTTATTATTTAAATTTGTGTGTGGGGGGGTGTTATCTTGATTTTTTGTTTCTCATCCTTCCAGGTACTACAGGTACATACATTTGCATGTACATATGCAAATGAGAGAAACTCATTCTTCATTACATGAACATATATATACACATGAAGGAAGAGCTTCTCATTAATTTTCTTGGTCACTGTAGCAGGGGCTACAAGGAAAAAGAAATATTGTGAGATTCACAGTAAAAATCACTAGAGTGGGCAAAACTTTAACTAAAAATAGCTCTTTGTGGCCACCCTGGCTGGGCTCTGAGTATGTCCTTCCACATACTTTGCCACTCCTCCATCCTTCTTACGCTGTGATCGGAAGTCTGCCTTCATGGAAAATGAGCCCATGAAGTTTCAGTAGTCTCCTGACAAGCCAAGCATAAAACGAAGAGAGCTGCTACTCGGTGCTGACGCGTGCGCTGCCGTCTTCCGGGAAACAGTGATGAGCGGCTCAGGGCTGACCACAGTGCTGTAAGGAATTAAGCACGCGATCATCACCAAATACCAAAACACGTCTACCTGTATTATTTTAAGAGCACAGAACCCACAGTCGTAATTTTTAACTGAAATACTTGGCTTGGAGGCAAAGCCAGCGTCTGCCACGATCATCCCGAGTTCTGAATGAGCAAGGCTCAGACCAACATATTTTGCACTGTCTCTCCACATGCAGCCCAAATTAGCCCTTCGTTAGGTGCCTGTAGACACCATTTCTCTTCTTGACTGAAATGTTGTAACAGTCACAGTCCCGTTCTGCGGGGAAGATAAGCAGGGAAAATGCATTACGCGTTAATGGGATTCGATGGAGTGTGAGCTCAGGTCCCCCAGCGCTGCCAGGGACGGAGTAAAATTGGCTTAATCATTTCGTGAGTCGGGGATCATTTTTGTAGCAGCATTGTGAATATAACCCTGCTACAACTGGTCACGAGTTGTTGTGAGGAAGAAATTATCCTTCTGCATGATAGATCAGTGTCTTCTGGAATTTAAATATTAATTGAAAATTCAAGGTCAGAGGGCAGCTGACACTTGACTTTGCTCTCTTTCCTCCATCCACGGCTTTGATCATGCTACATCTTCCTTTGTGCCTGGTGCTCGAGAGAGTACCCCAGGGTCATGGCCTGTTTCCTAGTCAAGAGGTATAAACCTACTGGCTTAAATATCTGAGGCCCAAGCTTTAACGGGGGGGCAAGGGTACGAAGGGAGAGGGGGGAGCGCTTGCTTCATGCTTTTCACATTTCCCACATAACCCAAAGCAGACTAAACAAAACCAGTGTGAAATCTCATGGCTTGATGCTGCTATGGTTATATTTTTTAAGCTGTCATCCATTCATTTATACTTACGTTTATTCCCTGGATTTACAGCTTTTTTTCAGCCTTTTCTTGCGGGGAGGTGGGGGGGAGGTTAAAGCCTTTTGAAAGGAGATTGCAGTGAGCAGTGGCCTATGATTAAAGCCCAGTGTTTTTCCTTGATGCTGCTCCTCTGCAGCAGTGTCACACATGGTAGCATTTAGGAGCCCTTCACAGCTGAGGTGTTTCAAACACTAATGAATGGAAGTTTGGTCATATAACGCAGGCAAGCTTTAAGGCATGCTTTGCTGAATGGTGTACTGTAGTGGCCTGGGAAAGGAAGAGAGTTATAAATTGTGTCAGTTAGCCACCCAGACAAAATGAAGCCATGTGGAAAATCAAATCTATTAAAGTATGAAGACTGTTATAAGCTGTTTTAAGCTGGTCATTCTTAAAAGGTCTCATTTGGCTGAGGGGGTAAATTCCTTTTCTTCCTAGATCTTTTTCACGTGCTGTCTTAGGCAATGATGTGCAGCGTTTGATAAAAAACAACTTTTCACTGACAGCCGCTTTTATCAGAAATGTTTATTGCCCCCAGTTTACCGCCCTTGTCCCGAAAGGTACTGCACGTTTGTTGAATAAGCAACTAAGAGCACCGCGTTTGGTCAGGCCTGCTGACGGCAAACGCGAAGGCAGCACTAGAGCGGAGGAGGACAGCCGGTGGGGAGGAGAAGGCTTCCCAGAGCACCCGCTTAACATCTGATACCTGCTCAAAATGCTTTCCATCTTCTGGCTGCCCATGTCTGCTGGCCCTAGGAGGCCCATGAAGGAGCAAAACACAGAGAACTTTTTTTTGGCACCCCTGGGGTAGGAGGAAAGCCTGGCAAGGCAAAGTGGGAGGATCAGAGAGCAGGGAACCTCCATCCCCGGGTGGCTTCTTGAGGTGTCACAGCAGCTGTAAAGGGCATTTTCTAGCTCCGGAGGTAATTGTCAGCTGCGTGAGAGAAGAGTGAGGTGGCAGCCACACACACAGACGCACAGTTGCCACAGTATTTTTTTCTGTTTGTGTATTCTAGGAAGAGACTGAAGAAACGTCCTCACAAGAATCGGCAGAGGAAGACTAGGAGACCGCACCATGCAATTTCTACCTCATCAGCAGTTGGATCTTTTGAAGGGAGAAGACACTGCCTTGACCACTTATTTTCTATTGCCATGGTCTTTCCACTTTTGCCTGGGGGAAAAAAAAATAATCGCATAACCTTAAAAAGGATTTGACTAATCATCTTCTTTGTAATCCCTTCACAGTCCCAGGTTTAGTGAAAAACTGCTGTAACACACAGGGGACACAGATTAACGATGCAACTTTTAATTACTGTTTTCTTTTTTCTTAACCTACTAATAGTTTGTTTGAGCTGCTAAGTAAGGGTGAATGGGTCAAGAAGAGCTCCAAATCAGGTTTATGTCATTCACTGCACTTCATATAAACAAGAAACTTGTAACATAGTCATTATAATGGGCATTGAAATAGGAAAGGCTGGGTGTGTAACACTAAAGCCTTGCAACACTTCCAGCAACCCACTCCCTACTTAGTGAACTCCCTGTTTTAGAACACCAAAGATAAGGGATAGATACTACTCTTTTTTTTTTTTGTAACCTTCTTGTAGACTTGTACTTGATTATTTTTTTTTTTTTAAGACTTACTGTTATTTCAGGAAAAAAATTGAAAGCTGATCTTTCACTTCATTCAGCTGGTAATTGGAAGAAAGAAATCAACACGAAAAAGGTACTTTCATTTTGCAAAAGGGAAGAAAGACAAAGATACGTTGTATAGTTACAGATACAAACATATCAGCAGTAGTAGTAGTAGTAAACGAGACGAACAGCCCTCATCTTCTGGACAATAGGAAGCCAGATGGAGTTGGCTTTCTGTAGAGCCAGGCGTTTTCTATGGAAACAAAAATGACTGACACCAAACACTCTTATGCCATTAATGACTAAGTCTTTATCGAGAAAAGTGTTTTAAAACATACAGAAAGGTACCTCAAAATTAATGATGAATTTATCTGAACATAAATAATCCAGATGTTTTGCTTAGTTTCGACTAATTCCACATGCCCCGTACCAGTATTTCAAAAGAATTGAATCTCTCCTCATTACTCATCAGTCATGATGTAAGAACCAACACCACGTACCTCAGCTAAGCTCGTGCATTACTTTAAGCAATGTATTTTGACATAGGATGGTTCACTGAGCACCTCTGTGCCAGTGGCATTTCTCCATCTTTTCATTCAAAGCAGCACTTTTAGCACCAGATGCAATATTACCCCACTATTCAATACTACCTCTGATTTTTGCAAATAACTCAACAGACTGATAAATACATGCTGCTATACACATTCAATGCAGGAAATTTTTACTGGGTAGATAATCATGAGTATCTGCATTTTCCCCTTATTTCTACTTCAACACTTAATTGCAGTTAAGGAAGCAATATCTTTATTGTGTTTTGGCATGACTATGTATTTTTCTTTCTCTTGGTTTTGTTTTTGGTTTTGTTTTTGGTTTTTTTTTAATGTACTTACCCTATTCTCTGCTAGACTTCTGTGTAATGTACTGTTAACTTGAATATATTTTTGTACTGAATTGCTGATAGGTTTGTAAGGATAATTTTCTTCAATGACACTACATGACATAGAAAAAAATTTAGCTGTAATGTTTAAATATTACTGTCCAAGTTTGTACCTCAAATGAATTGTTTAAAGAAATGGACTAATTGATTGACAAAGACCTACCTCCAGACTTTAAATGGAATGAACTTGTTACTTTCAGCATTAGTTTTGAGACGTTTGAAACAGTTAGGACTGCAACTAATCCCTAATTCAAAACTATTTTTGTAAAATAACTTGTGGAAAATGAACACATTTTAAATTACTTTCGTATTAAAAAAAAAACCGAACAAAAAAAAACCCTTCAAAGAAACTTGAAGCTTTGTAGGTGGGAAGCAACAAGCTCAGCTTTTGCATAATGCAATCACAAATATGTGTTTTAAAAAAAATAATTAGTAGATTGTAAGAAAATACTTGACAAGTATTTTCGTGTATTTTACACAAATGTGATTTTGTAATATGTTTCAGCCAGATTTATTTTAAATGCTTCTTATGTAGAGTTTTTTTATTCTCCTCTCTCTCACTTTCGTTGTTCTTTCTCTCTCTCTCCTCTCCTATTTCATTTTCTCTGTTTCTGTTTTATTCCCTTCTTCCTCTCTTTCCTAGTCAGTACTTTGTACCATTGTATTAATAACTGGGCCAGGGGTAGTTTCTCAGGAAGGCGTCTGTTGGTATGGCTTTAGTACCGAGCCAAATGCAGTTAACGATAACTACTTACTGGCTTCTTCCAAGAGGCAGTGTCAAGAAATGCGGACCTCCTCGAAAGCCCGCAGAGGGTTCAGTGATGGAAATCGCTGAGAAAGAGCTGATCGGAGTATTACAACCAGGCACGTTAATATTAAGTGAAAGAGAAATAATCCTAGCTATACAGTAGCTCTAACAGGCCAAATCCAGCGTCACTTGAAGGCAGTAGAAGGAAGTCTGCTGACTTCAAAGGGCATCGAATCAAGCCTTAGCAAGTCCCGTTTGGGGTTTTTTTTGCATTTTTTTAAAACCACAGTATTCAGTGGATGACACAGAAATAATCGCTGGGTGTGTGTCACACTTCAACCTCCGAGAGACTTACCACTCTGATGAACTGAATCTTGTATTTTCTATATATTGTAGTACAATCAAAACACATTACTACCTCTTAGGGCCTACTATACCTCATTTTTTCAGACTGAAAAATTGCATGTGGCCATTGAATCAGTGAGAACATCATAAAATTTTTTATATATATAGTTTATTTTTGTGGGAGATAAATTTTATACGACTGTTCTTTGCTGTCATTGGTCACTGCTAACTAAGACTGGACATTTAACTCTTCTACCATTTCTGCAAGAGAGGTATGTTTGCAGGAAAAAAACGCTTCAAGATGTTTGACTACAGTTTACTTTTTCTTTTGAGTGTCTTCTAACTTTTTGCTTTGTTCTTCGTGTAGAGTTGCTGTCTACGATTGTACTTCGAATCGCTTGCTTGTTGAAAATGTTCCTTTAATGGATTATCACAGTCTGTTCAGCACAATAAACATAATAGCCTCTGTGATCCCCATGTTGTTTGATTCCTAGACTTTTGTCACAGTTCCATAAAATGGGTAATAAAGTTTGGTCACAGTGACCAAATTTGTAAAAACTTTGCATGCAAGTAGTCTTTTTTTGTCCCAGGACCGGAGGCGTGTGCCTTAGAAGAAGTGCATTTGCTGTTAGGGGTCCCAGGGGTGGGCACTCGGCAGAGGGACACGTCTTACGAGGCTCCCCTAAAGGTGAGGCACCCATTCCTGGCCTGGAACTCACTGTGCCGAGCTAAGGGCAAAGCCGTGCCCTTGGGGACCAGTGATCTACCCACCAGATGGGAAACACCGTAGCACGGGCCAGGCTGAAATGGGGCTTGTTGCCTGGCCTCGGACCTGCCTCTCAGGGGGTCCACCAAGATGACAAGCCTTCTCCTCTTTTTTAGGCAAGATCGCAGTTTGCATCCAAGCTTATGGAATTTCCATTATGGGCCATTAGGTTAAAAAGAGCAGGTACTCAGAGCAGCAGGGACAGGGATGTGGCTGGGTTCGGTCTGGGGCACAAACTGAGGAGCTTGGGAAACTGTGTGTTTGGCACAGGCAAGTTGGGCAGGATTCTTCTGGCTTCTCCTCTTCATTTGCTCTTACACAGTCCCCTGGCCTGTTACAGTGAGATTTAAAGACTGTGGTGCATGTCCATTGGTTCATATTTGCAACCATGCCGCTCTCACCTAAGGTGATCGTTCAGATATGAATGCCTCAGATGTTCAGGTTTACACACTCTTTGTGTTCACTCATTTGCAGACTCTCTGCCTAATCCCTTTTGGCCTAGTAACCTCTGCTTTCCCAAGGGCTTCATGGCATGTTCCCTTTGGACTCAGTTACTTGTAAAATAACCAAAATACAATCACAAAAAAAGCATTCAGTAGTAACACCCATTCAGTCCTGAGTCAGAGATGTGAGTAATTGCATTCATCACATTATGTATCCTCCTCTCCTTTCTCACCCTGCTTTGGTGGTATTAAAGGATCGTTCCACTTTTCTGTCTTCCTGGTGACTTTCTTCCCTGTGGTTCCCATCACTTGGCTCTTCCTGTTACTTTATCTGATGTGATGCTCCAGCTGTAACCCACACACCTGATGGATCAGCCAAGTGGCTGAACTTCTGCTACCCTGTGCTTAGCTCCCCTCTACTTATTAGTCATTCCTCCAGCTTGCTTCACTCCCACTTCCCTTCTCGGGGCATCTTCCAATAAACTTCTGCACACTTTGTGCCACAGTGGGACTATTTGTGTGTATAAAACGAATCGGCTTCTGCAGGATCGAGAGTGCTTTATCCAAGATGCCTGTGGCAAGGGTCATACTAAGTTTCTGCTTTTGCTTTCCACTCCCACCACATCACATCCCCACAAAGACAGGGAATTACTGAAAGCTGGCGCTGCCAGTGCCTTGCACAGCAATTTAATTGTCCATAGCTTTTTTCAAAACCAAACCATCTGGTCCGGTCATCATTAGAGACAGGATCCAGCGCAATGGCAATAACGTGTTCCTCTGATCGCAAGAGAGGAGTCAGATTTGTCACACCTCAGCCTTCACCTGAAGCCTGAATGAAGCAATGTTTCTCACTCCAGCACCTCTGCATACATGGATGTAAAATTTCTGTCTCTCAATTCATCCTTCTTTAATCTCCCACCATCTTCCTGAACGCATTAATTTTTAAACATACAAAAGTACTTTGGCATATAGCCTTTAGTACAAATAAAGGTCCAATTGCTATAGGCCTTCTTGATTCAGAAATAACGCCAACTGAAGCTTCGTTACAGCTCCTTGCTCAGTCAAACGAATGTCTGCCACTGCGCGTTATATACTTTGTCTGAAAAACACAGACATCCTTGCTGTCTGGATGTTTTGTAGCCGGCACACTCAGCGTGGGTTAATGCTCCGTTCCTGCCTGGCCCACGGACCCACAGGCTGCGCCCCATGCTAGGAGACACTAGTGATGGGAAACCTCAATCTCCTGCCACCCCCCTCACTTGCAGGAGGAGCGCAGCCCGCCTTGCTCCGGGATGTCTCCGGCACGCAGATCCCGCTCCAGCCGAGTCGCTGCTCCGACCGTCCTCACCTCCCTTCGGTCAGTGTGATCCGCTCTGCTGTTGCTCTCATGCTCCTGGCCAATTCACCTCCATGTGACAGCAAGGTTTAACGTGTCTTTTTTCTTCTTTTATTTGCCTTTGCCACCTGAACAGCCTTTTGGAAATTTGTTTCATTTCTTTCCTTCCCACCTGTGATTTAATGCTTCTCC